TTAAGCAAAAAACATTTTGTTTCATACTTTTTGTTGCCAATTAAAAAAATTTCTCAATTCTTTAAAATTTTGTTTAGTTTAGCAAATTCCATGAAAGGAATGCAAAACCTACATATTTTCATCCTAATATCTACTGAAAAATTTGTTTTTAAGTATTGATTTCTGAAAAATGAATGTTAATAAATCACTGGAAATTATGTGTTTTATTTAGAACAGTTTCTTAATAATGGTAATTGGTATTTTTATATTTAATTTTCATGCAGCGCTCTTAAAAAAAATAAAACTTTCTCCACCCTCCCTGTAAATTAATGAAGTGTAGTTTGCTCCTCTTTCCTAAGCTCTTGATCCCTATTTTCTCAATTTGGTGTGTGAAATATAATTGTGTATTATTCATGTCCATTGTGTTGGTCCTTTGACTACTCCTTCTCCTCCTCCTGGGGGAATATATACATGACAAGTTCATCCCGGTTCCTGAATTCCTGACTTCCGTAACACATCCCAATTGTTTGTTCAGCTGATTGATGTCGACATGTGGTTTTCAGGATCGATCGGGAATTCGACGCTCATATGGCTGTCACGGTTTACCCCAACGTTAAACTCGAGTGGTAAGTGGTACTTCTTATGAAATTCTCTCTCTAACTTTTCAAAATAACAACAACAACAACAACAACATCAGTCACATAACGGACTCGATGTGCTGGCAATTTGTTTTCAAAGCAACGTACCAACTGAACACATCGATCAAATGGACATTGAAGTAATGGACTTGCTTTGTTATATGCCGGAAGTATTTTTGATAAGGTCTAGCCATTAGTTGAACCAAGGGTTTGGGACTGTTTATGTAGGACAGTGGGATTAAACGTGTCCACAACCAACTATTTGAGATGTTAGTTTATTAAAAACAAGATTACTTTCTTAATATAATAATAAGAGTAAAGATTTGTCTTTGTAAACTTTTTTCCATCGTCTCAAAATTTTTCGTTTATCTATCGCATGTCGCATTACAGCCGGCCGCGGAGTGGGGGTAAAGTGAAAGGCGCCCCGGCAGAGCAGCCAAAGCCAATATGGCAGTGATGCCAGATTAGGAAATTTTTCCCTAGTTCTAGGGACTTTTCTAACAAAAAAGGAAAAAGAGATTTTTTCAATTTTTCTTAATAATCTAGGGATTTTTTACATTTTCAGTGAAAATCTCAATTTTCTGCTGGCACAGTTTCACAGTTGTGTAAAGACAAAAAAAGAACAAGATAACTAAAAGCCGTTTGCGTTTTTCACGTTGCCAAGTTTACTAATTATTGCAATTCATTTAATGTTTTAGACGAATATTTAAAATTAATGAAATCCCATAATTTATAAGTATAAATAAAAATTAAGTAGGTATACGTTTATTTGAATGAATTTGTTTTAATTGACTTGTATTTTATTTTTTTATTTCTTTAGTAAAATTTATTTTAATTTATTTATTTTATTTATTGATTTTTTGTTGTTTGGAGTTAACACATTTTTTATGTTGTATTTATATTATATTACCTCAACAAAATAGGCCTATGAAATAGTATCTTTTTAATTTTTTAAGTAGTTTAGGGAATTCTAGGGAATTTAGACGCTACAATGTACGGACAAGCGGTTAATCTCATCTGGCATCACTGCAATATGGCGGCGTTCATGGCTCGCATCAGCTGACCGTGTAGCATTTATATTCTTGTTCATTCGAACCCAGTGTATTGATCCCAAAAAAAGTTTCATTTGCATCATGGTTTTTTTAAACCATAGCAGTTTTTTTTTTGAGAAATACCTTTAAAAAAAGAAAAAAATGCATAAATGCTGATCTTTAAAACAACTTTAGTCAATTATTTTTGAAGTAATCGATCTTGGTTTTTGCAGGATAATTTAAAAGAATATTCTATAGGCCAATATGTTGGTATTTTTTCAAAAAAGTGTTTTGTTTTCGAGATATTGTGATTGATGTAAAAGTCATGTTATTTAACGATTCGTTTTAGTTTTTTGGTATTTATCACAAAATATTAATTTTCAACTAATTCAACAAACGTTATGTAATAAAACACTGAATTTGGGGTCACTTTTATCGTATAACTAGCATACTAATTTTTGGTTATTATTAGAGAATTAGACACTAAAACATTTTCGGTGAATTCAAAAAACAAACAATTTTTGTGGTTCTTCAAATATTAATAGAAATATAATTTTAGAAAGAATTTATCTTGTGTACCGACATTGGTCACCAAATAAATAAATTTGACACGTTTTATGTTGTAATTTAATTATTGACTTTGACCTACAATAAAAAATAATGAGGTAAATTTATTATTTTCAAACAAATGCTCGCCAGAAGTCTGAAACAAATAGTTTTTTAGTGGGGCAACTATGAAAATAATTATTCGACAGATTGATTTTGTTTTTTTAATTATCGTTGTGCTTCTTAAAAAAATAATTCGGCTCATTATATACATTTTTTGTAACTAGAAATGAAAACTTTGCGTTTTTCTACGGTTAGTGAAAATTATTTTCAACTATACAGCGTGTCCAAAAATAAGTTACAATACAAACTTGTGTTTTTTTTTTAATGAAACACCATATGTTTCTTGGCATACAATTAGTTTTTTAAATAAGTTGTTTTTGTGTCAAAAACATACTCTTAAAAAGATTATTACACAAAAACTCAGACAACTAGGTTTTTCTGGCTGAAAAACACGCTCAAACGATCGAAAAATACAAAAATAATGTTATTTTCGAGCGATTTTAGAAATTTTTTGGTCTAATTTAACAAAATCTTCCTTAGAATTGAGTCTTTTAGCTCAAAAACATACTTCAATGCTCGAAAAACGCAAAAATTTGACTAATTTGATGCTTTTTTGGTTTATTGTTGACAAGATTTCACAAAACAATTAAGTTTCTGGCTGAACAACTGCTAAAGAGCTCAAAATAAAATAATAATGAAATCTTTGACTTAATCTTGTGATTTTTCGTTCAGTTTTAACAAAATCTCGCGAAAAAGTTGCGTTTATGCGTTCAAAAAAAGCAAGAATAAGACAATTTTTGACCTAATTCGGCGATTTTTAGGTAATTTTTAACGAAATTTTGCATGGCTAAAAAACGCACTTAAAAAATGCAAAAATGACACAATTTATAGCCAAATTCGGCGTTTTTTCTGCTTATTTTTGGAAAAATTTCGCTAAATAATTGCGTTTTTGACTGGAAATGTGCTGAAACGCCTGAGAAAGGCAAAAATAACGTCACTGGTGACTCAATTTAGTAATTTTCTCGTCAGACTAGACTTAAAAACTCTCAAAAAAAACGGAATGACACCATTTAATGTTTTTTTCGGCTTATTTTTGAAATTTTTTTCAAAATAATCAATCTTTCAACTCAATTCAGTGATTTTTTACATCAGTTAGATCTAATTTAGTGTTTTTTTTTTGGCATATTTTAATTTCAAATTTTAGTTTCAAACGGACAATAATAGCGTGGCTTACATTGACATTTTTTGAACTGATATAATCTGATGTCCAAAATTTCGTGTCCACAATTGTACAAATTTGTAATTCTTCCGAATGTAAAAATTTCAATTTATGGAATTATATGTCCTGTTACCCCATACTAAAACTTAATTTTCGTTGAGATGGAACCTCGTTATACCTGTGAGCTTTCTAATTAGAATAATTGTGATTAATATTTTTTTTAAGATCTAAAAATCAAAACAATATTTAGCTTTCTTAAAAAAACCTTCGAAAATTCGACGCAAACTATTGAGTTGCGTTTTTTATCATCTCGTGTTCAATCTTTTTGCAGAAATTGCTCATTTTTGGGCACGTTTTAATCTTTGGACGTGTTTTTTTGTTGGTACGTTGCCTTGAACCCAGTTGCCCACATCGATTTCAGTTCGAAAATGATGAGTTTATTAACTGTACCTATTATTCTGTTATCGATTAATATTTTGTTAGCATGCTCAATTAATAACATCACAATTTCACGTGTAGTCTCCTTTTATTTATTCCATTTCTGGATTAGATAGAATAGAGAGGTGAAGTTGAATACAACAATCATTGGAATAGTCACTTTTTCTCCTAGTTTAGTTTGCACAATTAGGTTCTAGTTGATGGGAATTCCTGTAACTAACTGAAAAACCAATCATTTCCCGTGAAACCTATCAACTTTCTTTTTTTTTTTCAAAACTTATCACCACTTTCTGCAAAAATCTACGAAAGTGTTCTTGTTGTGAGTTCGTTAATCAGAGCGTTTGACACTGTTTAATGTGCGTGAAATTTTTACATTTGTTTAAAAACTGAAAAATTATGAATTTCAGGATCGTCATAAAAAAGTTGACTTGCGTGCGTCCAATTATGAGTTAATGAAAGTCATTTATGTTACTTTCCTCATAAATCAAACTAATTACTCAAGAACTGTCACTAAAACAAACTTTTGTTTAGTCAAGGTGACGAGAAATTTTCATTATTATCAAACATCTTTGTTCAAGGTTTCCATCAAAAGTTTTTGGTATTTGTGTGTTTAGCATTGATCTCTTTATTTGGTCCTCCATATTTGCAGGTGTCAACACAAGTTATTTGCAGCTTCGAAAGACAACCTGTTTTAAGTCAGATTTCGTCCATTGAAGCGGAAAATTGTTTCAGTTTGTCTAAAAATCGGCGAAAATATTGACATTTTTGACAAAGTATTTGTTTTTGAAACTGTTTAAATACTTTTAACCGGTGACAAAATTTTAAAAATTTGTTTACGCTTGAGTTGGCCTTCAAGTTTATGGGAAATTTGACTCGACTCGAGACAATTGTGAATAAAATTAATTGTCTAAAATAAAATGAGTCAAGAAACTTGAATTTCCGCACCACTTGATGCGTCTCAAGGTTAGAATATCTCGCCTAAACCAAACACAGATATATCGTTTTCAAAGCCCCGAAACGAGTCAATAACAAGATCAAAGCGAGACCTAACAAACCTCCAACATCCCCAATCTGGGGCCTCGAAATTGCCTTTCGATCAAAAATGGGTTTTAAAGAGAGGAAAAAAGACAATTAAATTTTATATTTGCTCCGGTTATTTGAATCCCACGACTCTTTCTATTGCAAACAATGCAAGTAATAATAATAATTTTTAATTAACAATCGAGCGATGTGAACCGTGGAGCTCATAGCAAATGTAATTTCGTCGTGTATGTTTTGAGAGTAATTTTGCAAAGCGAGGCAATTCCGTTATTATACACCAAAATGCTTAATACTGGGATAAGGAGAAATGAAATCGTGGGGCAACAGTGACCCTATTTATTGCGATGTCCTAATCCGGGATTGATGGACTTCAGAAGCCAACAATTTCAATACGGAAACCGTAAAATAACACGTTTCCGGTGGTTTTAAGGCTTAAAAATATTATTAGCTTCTTTTGTATTCAATCGATACCTAAATGAGTAGCTAAATTTACCACCAGTGAATCACCCATCGTCGGTGTGATATTTTGTGCCCTGAAAAATTATAGGGTAATTAATTTTACATAATTAAGTACTAGTTTTTTATAAGAATCAAAAATTTTTGATTTTTTGGTGGTCAGAATCGGATTTGGTGCTTATGCTTCTAGTCTT